CAATCCCCAAGCAAGTCATCATGTCCGGCGATGTAAGTACCTCCCCTATTTCTCCCTCCTACTGCGCCTGCCTGGCTGGCAGTCACATTCCCCGTTCACCCCTCCTTATCACGGCCTTGGCGCGTGAGCTTCGTCGGCACCAGGCGCGGGCGACACCTCGCCCAGTCGAAATCGCCTCGCCTTGCGTCGACCTCGTACCTTGAGCTGCCCTCTTTTGCACCGAATACCATCTTTCTCCTCCACGACGAAGACCATCTGCTAACCGGCCTTGTCTGACAGCGTGAGAGGTTTGTTGCGAACCGCATCCCTCCCCTGAACTCCCATGTCCTTTGCCTGCCCCCTCCCCCCCCGCCCAATCCGCCATGCTGACTGAATCCCCGCCCTGATAACAGCAAGACTTTCCTTGCTCGCCTCTGCGAGCAGGCCGAGCGTTACGATGAGATGGTCGGCTACATGAAGGAGGTTGCCAAGCTTGGCGGTGAGCTCACTGTTGACGAGCGCAACCTTCTCAGCGTCGCCTACAAGAACGTCGTCGGCACCCGCGGTGCCTCGTGGCGGCATCATCTCTTCCATCGAGCAGAAGGAGGAGTCAAAGGGCTCTGACAAGCACGTCGGCACCATCCGCGACTACCGCAACAAGATCGAGACCGAGCTCGAGCAGGTCTGCCAGGATGTCCTCGACGTTCTCGACGAGAGCCTCTCTCCAACGCCCAGAATGGGGGGGGCCCAAGGTCTTCCTACCACAAGATGTGCGTTGGACACCACCCCCGCTTTTTCTCCGCGGGGGGAATTTTTGGGCGTAATTGCCCGAACAGCCTTTTTCCCCGCTCCACCCTTGTTGAACAATGTCTGTCCTCCCCCGATAAGGAAGGGTGAGTACCACCCGCTACCCCCGCCGAAGATCCCCCCCTGGGGGAAAGAGAAAAGTGGCGCCCACCTGCCGGCCCCCCAGGGATAAAAGGGGAGCGATGCCCCATAATAGAGCCGGGGGAGGTGGGTCCTTCATCTTTTCCTTTTGTAACCCAAACTTT